TATGTTCATTTGACGATTCCTCAACAATAGCAATAGCAGCAAAAGATTGATGCGAATTTTTGCCCTTATTTTAAACGCCCACAAAGAGGGATTTTTGAGGTTCCAATTGCCTCTCAAGTTCAGTCTTTTTGGATGATACCCCTATTCACATTTAATTTGCAGCATGCACGACGAATACAGTTACATACTGGCGTTTGTAACATTTGAAGCATGCGGCAGACATTTTTTTTGCCACTTTAAAATGTTAATTTTAATAATATTTTTAATAATATTTGCATATTGTGCGCGTTATGCGTATTATGTTGAGACCGGCGTGTGTGTGTCTACCCGAATATTTCAACTCGGCAGCCAAGTAAACTCCCGCCCTGAAATTTTGCCACTGGGTTCCCCGGCCAATCACCCTAGATCCCCGTTATCAACCCTTACGTTTGTCTGGGCCTGAGCATGAGCCCTTGGATGTTTTTGGCGAGAAAATTTTTAACTCGGAAACCGGAAAGCTGGAAGGCTGAAATTTTAAGGGGATGTTCCCAGCCCATATACAACTTAAAAAAAATTTCAAATTCAGCCACCAGATATGTGTGATTCTCATATGCGCCCCCGTGTAAGTTTTTGGCGCAAATCGCTAACTTGGGAACCAGAGGAGCTAAGAGGCTGAAATTTTAATTGAATGTCCCCTGCCCAAGTACTACGTAGTTGCACATCTAACATCCTAAACCAGTATGTCACAAATTCTGACTACTTGAATCCCAAGCGATCTCATTACAGCACGAAATACTGCAAAACACCGTGATCGCACGGGCCCGCTTGGTGCATGTCGTCAGTGATTTTCATTCTCAGTCTACCGGCCCACTGGTACAACGAACAGCAAACGATTCATTGGATGATCAAAACAAGCAAAACGCCACCGTGAGATACAAACCAAAACAACGTTGGATTGTGCGGTCGAACGATGAACAACAAACAACACAAACACCAGTAGAACGACAACAGTCTCGAACGCAACAACTGGTGCTTTACTAATTTAAAAAAAAATCAGAAATTTTCAAAAAAATTGCGAGGGCACATTGCTGAGCCAATTGTTGTCTAAGCAAAATTATAAATGTTTTTTAAGGGACAGATACTAATAAATGGTGAGGCACTTAGGAGATATTAGAGACTGGAAAATTGCTGGGGACTAAAAAGATTACTTTCTGACTGAAAACACTATTTCGAAACGTCGTCGACTGTTTTGGACTTTAAACGATAGATATAAAAAATCTATGAAGCAGTTGCTGTCTACAACGGTAGAGCAATTTCAACAGTTTTCCTCCCCTGTACTTTTCATTGCAAGTTTCTAGTCACGTTAATTGGCCAATACTTATCCTGCTTTTAGCCCATTAACCGATTGTTACAACAAATGGCGCTTGATCCAGTGCTTGACAGTAACGGAAGAAGCACTTTCGAGAGATACAGTCCTGAAAACCAAGGGATTATGCTATCGAATCCTGAACCTGTGCAACTGCAAGCGGAACATACACAACTTCAAGAGCAACAAATGGTGCACCGCTTTTTGGCCTGACAAAAGTTCAAAACTTCCCAAATTCCCCTTCTCTTTTTCTTAGTCCCGTCTCGAATTGTTTCAAAGAAGGCTTAAATTTCACAGGATGATGATGAAAGGAGAGTGGACGAACAGATACCGTTCAATTTGCACACTGAACTGAGCAATGAGGAAGCGATTCGGCTAGCAAGACAACGAGCGCGCTTGTACACACCTAGGGCGCGTTGGCTTTCGAGAGAGGAAGAGCCGGAAGCAAGCTATGCACCGCTGATACATGCATATCAAAACCATCATGACAGCAATCAAGACATCTTCGACAACGACGGAAGCGTAAGTTTGATTACAAAAGAATCTGAAAGGAATATGTAGGATGCGAAGATGGCGGGTCCGTTGTAAATGGTGATAGTGGTTGTTGATCATTTGACTTCTTTGCTGAGAAACCAATCGCTCCACGATTCGCTCATTTGTTTTACTGAGAAATTAGTGCTGGCAGATTAAGACTGCTACTCGCTTACGCGACCATTCGAATGCAAAAGCTTTTCAGCGATTGATACAACCACGTCCGAATACCTCCACCGCAATGTAATTTGGAGGATGCTTGTCCCTTTTGAAACGTACAACCAAAGCGACGTTTTGCGGTTAAGGATAATAATTGAATAATTTTTATTTTAGCCTGTGGATCTGTCGATGCGTGGAGCAGTTTATGTTCCAGCGCTTGGCTATAGCGAAAGAAATTTTTTCGAAAGATACGATCCGTCGGACGCTAGACAACCACTTCAAGGGCAACAGTTGGTACGCACTGCTTTGCGGAGAATCACTGTCAAAAATTTAAAAGTTCCAGAACTTTTTACGAGTAGTTTCCAACACGGCCTTTTTCTTTCTTCAGTTCCAATTTAGCAGGCTTGAAAACGATTTAAAGGATTATGGAGAAAGGCAGTTGGAAGAAAACGGAATTCCGACGCTCACTGCGTACAGTGAATTGAACGATGAGGACGCGACTGAGGCTATCAGACAGCAAAGTTGTTCCCCCAATCGCAGAGTACGTTGGCCATCAAGTCAGGATGAGCGGGGAGTGAGCAATGCAATGTTGGTAAGCACGAATCAGGATATATCGAGCAGCGAGGAAAGTGTGAGTTTCTACCCAAAATTTGTGCAGTTATGTGGAAAAGTGGCGGAAAGCATTGTCAAAATGTGAACGAGATATTTTGTAAATGTAAGCAAGGATTGAACTTGGGCTACCTCTAGATATCTCCACATCAATGAAATTTTGGAGGATGCTTAGACTCTTTTAAAACGTACAGTTAAAGCGACGTTTTGCGAACTTAGGGCTGTTAAGAGTAATAATTGAATATTTTTTGTTTTTAGCATGTGGATCTATCGATGCATCGAGCAATGCATGTTCCATTGTTTGGCTATAGCGAAAGAAGCGCTTTTGAAAGATACGATCCTTCGAAACACAGGATTACGCCGTCGGCCGTTGAACAACAAAGCATGCAAGGATCATTTCTGGGACAAAGACAGGTCTGCATTACTTCGCGGAAAACTACTGGCAAAAATTCAAGACTTTCAGAATTTTTTGCGAGCGGTTTCGTCAATATTCTTCTTCCAATTGTTGATTTGAAAACAATTTAATTTCTACAGGATTATGGGGAAAGGCAGCTAGAAGAAAACGGAATTCCGTTCAGTGTGCGCAGTGAACTGAACAATGAGGACGCGATTGAAACATTCAGACAGCAATTTCGTTCCTCTTCAACTCGCAGAGTGCACTGGCCATCAAGTCAGGAAGAACGGGGAGCGAGCAATGCACTGCTGGCGAACACGAATCAGGACTGGTGCGAAGGTAGTCCGGGTATGCCAAGCAGCGAAGAAAGTGTGAGTTTCTGCCCAAAACTTGTGAAGGCGCGTAAAAAAGTGGCGGAAAGCATTGTCAAATGAACAAAAGACTGAAAATGTATGCAAGGAAAGAACTCGGATATCTCCAGATATTCCCATCTCAATGAAATTTTTAAAGGGTGCTTTGATTCTTTTAAAACATAAAAACAAAGCGGCATTTTGCGGACTCGAATTTATTAAAGGTTATAAATGAATAATTATGTGTTTTATGCGTTTTACTCTGTAATAGTTGCATGAAACGCACATTTCGAGATTCTGTCTGGGGGTATATGTTCCAAGTGCATGTTGTCCAGGAATTCAACTCGGAACCTGAAAAGCTAGGAGCTAAAGTTTTAAGGAGGATCTTTTATCAACGTGTAATCTCATAAACTCAAGTCCAGCATCCACGTGTGCCCACTTTTGTACGGCCA